GTTTTATCAAGGAATATGTGTGTTGAAGTAAGTGGGCTTATAAATGTCATCTACCCTTAATGAGGGTTTATGAAAATGCAACGTATGATATACACTTTTAGAGTTTCTCAGTCCTATAAACGGTTTGATAAACCTTTCCACACTCGATATATCAACTTGATAAACCCTTTTATTTAGTCTTTTGATGGGTAGATAAAAGGGTTTATCACATCCTGATAAACGGTCGAAAAGGGTATATCATACGTTGCATTTTCATAAACCCTTTAAGAATTTATCATTACGCGGATTCTTTTATCAGTGTACACAGTTGGATTCCTTCCACATAAATTTTAATTGATGAACTAGCTAAATACGGCATAATTAGTTAATTATCTATAGCAGACCCTAACAGATAGGCGTTGGAACAACCACAAACAGGTTAGCAAATTCAGGGTGGATAGAGAGGAGTACTAATGATATAGTTTGATGAATAGTAGTGAACGTCTTCGTACAGTCAAGGCACACATAGTGCTACAGTATCAGCAAATTTATGACCTACTTGCATTTTTCACTTGTAGGTGGTGTATTAAAGTATAATGAAAGAAAAAGCTCAGAAATATACAGAATACTTTGTTGTTCTGGTCAGAATGAACATTTACATTGTGTTTCACATTTTAATCCCGAAGGGATTGCGCTAACAGCTTTTGTGAAATACGATCTGAAAGGGGTGTTGAAGTATATAGGGTAGAAATTTGGACTCACCCCCGCCTCCCCCACAGACCGTTACAGAGAAATTAATTAATCAGTTAATTGGTTAATTAATTAATTATTAATTAATTTCTCTGTAACGGTCTGTAATGATTTCTAGAGAGTCCATACATCATAATACAGACCGTAATAGAGTAGTTCCACAGACCACCAGTGGCAGTAACAGTAATAGACGAATTCCAGAAAAGAAGTTTCATCGTGTTTCACACTTTTAAACCCAAAGGGAATGCGCTAACAGCTTTTATTGCATAAAGAGCATTGTTACGGCACAAACCATTGGCGGATGCATGAGATGGTCACGTGAAACAGTCCACTCAGGAGATGGGGTTAGTGGAGGGGACGAGCTGATCTCCCTGCGGATCTTTGAGCTCACCACCGCGAAATACCTGAAGCATGTATTTTTGTGGCTTGGTAAAGCTCAGCCGATCCCCCGCCTTGCGGAGATTTGAGTCCCATTCTGTCTGTCTTTCGTCTTCTATTTTAGTGCTGTTAGTTGAAGCCTTTAATTCGTCTAATTTTTACCTGTTTTTCATTTACTCCCACCCATTTTACAGGTCTGTTTGAAAATATTATCACCAGCTGCGGGCACAAACAACCCATTTTCTGTCCGGTGCATGTATTTCTTCTGCTGGGCACTGTCAGTCTAGGGCCCAGTGAATCGACTTTCGATGTCGATGAACGTCACTTGTAAATAAAAGAACCTCCGCTACGTAAAATGCATTTAATTTGTTGATTGGTGCCTATCCAATTATGCATCCTTCTGCAAACAACGCTTGATAAAGATCAAGAATCTCTTTTACCTTCATTTTTAACAAAAATAACTACATATATATTCACCTATAGGTTACAAATGATTCGAAATATAAATAGTTTGCTAATCTTCATCCTGAAATTAGAGTTCGGGAGAAAATGAATTAATGTATGTTATAGAGGTGATTTTATCTTATGAAATCACTCCTGCTATAGTTTTAAATTATTTGATTATTTTAATTAATTCTATATGTTTTCATATTCACCTTTCATTGCATGCATAAAGTATATGATGAAAAATCCATGACAAGGGTATTTATGTGTTCATATATTCACCCAAATTCTAAGACTAATTACATGATCGATACGAACGCACTATCAGACTAATAAATGTCTATGAATGGTAAAGCACTGTCACGTTTGTTTTAAGAAAAAAATGCATCTTTTTATATCTAATAATTATATGTACCAAAACATGTGTATCTCATTTCACTGGGTTACTCATGAAAATAGAACCGAATATACAATAATTCAGTACTAGAATGATCAGCACAGCAAGCTCTGCATACCTTGATAGTCACAATAAACTCTAGGGTGTTATTACCGTTAATGATTAGATACAACGAGCATGTTCATCAAAAATTGCAGTCAAAAATAGTTTTTTCGCTTTTCCCCACCAGAATCAAACGGGAGAAAAAAAACACCTATTCCATGTTGTAGAGTTAACTCTGCTCTATCGAATGGCTGACGCCACTTTTTTGGATAATTCCAACTCCTATACTAAAATTTTTGAAATAACTTTTCATAAAAGTGCTGTCACTGAAAACAAGAGGATCCTTGAGACTGGCCATCAAAATATGCAGAAATTTTAAGGTTCCTAAGGATTCTGATGCAGATTTTCACGCTGAATCTGAATATATAATTGGTTTACAAATTTTATAAAATATTGATGTAGTAATATCGATTTTTCGAAATGCTACAGTTTTCTTAATCGTGAAAAAATTCAAAATAACATAAAAAGTATTTCTTTCATAAGTATATGAAAACGGCATTAAATCCCAATAAATGTTATACCAAAATGATCAGCAGAAAAAACTGAGTAAACCCTGAATGTTTCAGCAAATTTGGAGGTGGTACCCGGATCTACCTGGCGAAATCCCATGGAGTTACGCATAGTTTTTTGATGCGAAGCGAACAAAAGAGGGAAAAAAATTATGACAGTCATCAATGTTATTTTCACAACACACTCAAGTTCTGCACACTGTTTTTCATTATTTCTCCGATTGAAAATGAAGCCATGGCTTTTCAATAGTATTCAAATGAACTCGAAACCTTTCTAGTATTTTGTAATACACCATTTCGCTGAAGAAGAATGTGAGTGCACTGAGAAAAAAATAATATGGAATATTTTTGATTGGCTGCCATGCAGTGCAAAAAAAATATACGGCATCACCGAAGGATAATGTACAGAATCATTCCGTTACAAAAAAAAGCACACTCCACTGGCATCACACATCTTTGAATGTTAATAATTGAAGTTGGAAACACAAATACAGTAGCAACGAATTGATCACAAGTGATGCTACCCAAAACGAGTTTGCCACCGAAAGAAGTGTGTGTTACGAGAGTCTCTCGTCGTTCCGGTCATCAATCAGAGGAGGTACCTCCCATTCGAAGTTCGTCATTAAAACCAATCCATGTTACAAGACTCTCTCGTCGTTCTGGCAATCGATCACAAACAGTGCTCCTCGGTCGAAAATGGTCACCAAAAGGAGTTCGTATCACGAAACTTTCTCGTCGTTCCGAAAATCAGTCACCACCGATGGTCTCCATTCAAAGTGCGTCATTACAAGATTTCTACGGCATGCAAGTTTCTCACCGTTCTGGTGATCGATTACTAGAAATTCCTGTGAGATTTTTGAGATTGCTCTCCGAAACCTATTTACGAGATAAAATATTCTAAATACTTTTTATAGGATTCTTTCTCTCTGGAAACTGGCACTCCGTCTATCACTGGTCAGCATGAAACAATTTCTCCTATTGACAATAAAAAGGTAGCATAATTTTAAAAGAATTTCGGCTGGGTGTGGGTCTCGCCATCACACCCACACACCCACACCCACACCCAAACCCACACACCCACACCCA